TTGGAATTTGCTTGGCTTCTTGAATCCGAAGGTTTATGTTTGTTGCCAAATATTGGAAGGCATTATTTTTTTGAGTGCTTCTTTTCTGAAGCTGGAGTGTGGTGGTGCAATCAAAGGTCACTGTAGCCTGGACCTCCTGGGCTCAGGCAATTCTGCCACCTCAGCCTCTTGAGTAGCTAGGACTACAGGCACATACCACCGCGCCCAGCTAATTTTAAATTTTTTTGTAGACATAGGGTCATACTATGTTGCCCAGGCTGGTCTTGAGCTCTTGGACTCAGGCAGTTCCTACCTCAGCCTTCCAAAGTGTTAGGATTACAGGCATGAACCACTGTACCCGACCATGAGTATTTTCTTAGCCTCCCTCTTTTTCCCTCTACTTTGTTGACACAAATGTTAGATCTTTTGTTATGATCACGCAGCTCTCCAAGATGCTGTTCATTGTTGTTCAGATTGGGTAATTTCTGTTGTTCTGTTTCCCAGTTTCTGGTGCATTCTTTCCTTTCCCTTCCACTCTACTCTTAAGCCCATCCACTGAGCTTTTTGTTTTGGTTATTGTATTTTTTAGTTCTAAAATTTCCAATAGGCTCTTTATATTGTTTTATTTCTTTGCTCAGATTTTTTCATTTGCTTCAAGTGTGTTTATAATTACTTGTTGAAACATTTTTATCATGGCTGCTTTAAAATATTTGTCAGATAATTTTAGTATCTGTGACATCTTGGTGTTGATATCTTTTTTTTTTTCTTTTTTTTTTTTTTTTTGAGATGGAGTCTTGCTCTGTCACCCAGGCTGGAGTGCAATGGTGCAACCTCCGCCTCCTGGCTCAAGCCATTCTCCTGCCTCGGGCTTCTGAGTAGCTGGGACGACAGGTGTGTGCCACCACACCCGGCTAAGTGTTGATATCTATTGATTGCCTTTTAAGTTCAGATTGAGGTTTTTCTGGATCTTGGTATGACAAGTGATTTTCTGTTGAAACTTGGACATTTCTGTTTCTCATTCTTATTTAAACCTCTTTTAGCTGACTTTGACACCACTCTAGCAAGGGAAAACAACATATTACTGCCAGGTTGGGGTCAAAGTCCAGCTTCCTCACCTGGCCTCCACTGACACCTGAGGTGGGGGGCTGCTTGTTACTGCTGGGGTACGGTGGGGCTCCTGGCTGCCCCTGTAGTTTTCACTGATTCCAAGGCAGGAACAGCATGGAAAGCCCTGGGTGCTGGTGAACGTTCTGTCTCCCCACCAGGCCCCTCTGACGCCACACGAGAGATTGCTGGGCGCCTCATTATAGCTTTGCGAGGGCAGAGGTCAGGGCCTTTGCTGGTCTGGGTGGGACCCCATTTTTTTTGTGGTGCTTGGCTGGGGTAGAGAGCAGTTATGTATGGTCTAAATTTTCTGTCTTGCTAAGCTGCTCCTTTCCTGGTCCTCTGGCTGGAAAGAAAAGGCTTTGTCTGTGCCCACTGGTGTTTCCACTGGGGGTTTTAATTGTACTTAGTGGGAAGAACAGGGAAAAGAGCATCTACTGATCTTCCGAGACACAGGCGCTGTCAGGTTGTCCTTGTTACATGTGGTGCACACGTTAGGTTTCAGTTGTTTTTTTCTTAAGGGTGCATTTTGCTATGCAGAAATATTTGGTTTTTATATAGTCAAATATACTAATCCTTTTTTTAAAAAAAGGATTAAGGCTTTTATAACATGTTTGGAAAGGCCTTTCTCATACCAAGCTTATGAAAAGAAACCTCCCTTTTCTCCTAGCTTTGAGGTGTTTTTTACATTTAAATATGTGAGCCGTCTGGAATTTCTTCTGGTGTAAGTGGGAACAGGAATCTCCCTGCACCAGTGCCCCCTGGCTACCCAATTGTCCCAGCTCCATTTTACGGAGTAATAAATGTTTTATGGTGTTAGGAAAATTCTATTTGGTAAATGGTTGTTTATAATAGTGTTCCTAACAGCTGGGTCCTGACAAAAGTGGTCTCAAAGTCCTAGAGGCTGCACGGGGGGAGGCGATGGTTCAAACCTTAGCTCTCCATGGTTGTTAGTTGCTGACAGCGGGTACAGTGTGAGCTCCAGGCTGGACAGTATGACACAGTAGCCGGTCAGCCTGTCCCTGTCTGGGACTTGGATACCCTCTAGGTTCAGGAAGCCAGGGGCAGCCATGGCTGACTAGAGAGTGTTTTGAGCTGCCTTGGAAAGTGTTCCAGCTTGAAAGTTCTTCCTCCTCCGTGGCCAGGTCATTCATTGCTGAGGGGTGATCTACCCCAATCTTCAATAGTAACGCCCCAGCTGCCTGGGTGCCTGAGCATCTGTGAAGGGGAGGCCCATGGGGATGTGGAGGAGTGTGAACAGAAGTGAACCCTTGAAGGGGGAGAGAGCAGTGGGTGGAAGAGGCCGGGGTTTCTGCCTCACACAGAAGCAGAACGTGTAAGGTGGCACCAGAAGAAATGATAGCGGCGATGTGTCCTGGTGCCCTGCTGACACTAGTTGTGACCCAGCCTCTCTTCTGGCTGTCAAGTTTCTTCTGCTAAGGAAAGAGTGCCATAGCCAGGGAGCCAAGGGATGTAGGGATGAAGAACCCCCTCAGTCTGGAATGTGAGGCCCTCCCCCACTGGGCCTCAGTGGACTTTTCCAACCCAATGCAGTATGGCCTACAAAGCCCTAATTGGGAGTAACAACCTGGGATTTGGCTCCCTCTCTGCCATTCACTGGTAGGCTGGCTAGGAGAAAATCATTTCCCATGTCTGGACCTTGTTTTCTTTACAAATAATACTGGGTACTGAACTAGGTAAGTGATTTTCTTTACGGCCCTTTTAAGAAATGGAAGACTCCACAGAAATTCAGGTATAAAAGCATTCAGTGCTGGGCAGCCAGGGTTGAAGCAGGTCTAGGCACAGGGGCTCTGGCAGCTGGAGCCACTGGACCAGATGGGGCTCAGGTCCCTCCGCGGGCCCTGGGCCCTACTGTATGAATAGAGGTGATAATAGAGTGGGGCTAATGAGACAATTGTCTGGAAAGCGAGCAGAGCGGGAACACAGGTATCCCATCAATGAAGGGGCTGCAGGACTGCTTGTTCCTTCCCAAATTCTCGCCTTTCAGTACAGCAAAGAGCCCCCTCCATCCTCTCCCTGCCACCAGCCCTCTGGGTACACTTTGCCTCTGCATCCTTACCACAGCATGGCTTCGGGCTGGTAGCTAGTTGTTTATGTCTAAAACTTAACCTCCGCAATCCAAGCAAGTTCCGGGAGACCACTTTCTTTCACAGCTCTGGATCCCCCAGGCTGCCTGGGAGGCAGACATATTCATGTCTGTGGGTGGACAAGCCCAGCCCGGATGCAGGAGAGATGCCTCTGCAGCAGTAATAGAACAGGCCCTGGCGTGGTGTTCACGGCACGACGTTCTTCAGGAGGGAAGGTGAATCGTGGGCTCCTGCACCTCACAGGGCATCTGTAACTGTTAGCGTGAGACACAAGGCCGAACGGCCAAGCTGTCATCTCAGCCCAACAGCGCAGGACGCGAATCACCGACCCTCAGCCTGCGTCTTGCCTGTGCCCGCGCCTCTGCCAGAAAACAGTCAAGACGCTTTCCAATTCAAAGACTCGGAAGAATAAGGCTGGGTTCATGTCGCTTCTCATTTATTAATTCAGTCTGTTCTAAGTTGTACAGTTATGAAAATAACAAAACCAAAGCTGGAAGCCCGGGAATATTTACACTCTCTTGTGGGTAGTGAGGTCAGTCTATGTTGTTGCACAGATTGGTTATGTTTGGTACCTCAAAATTTTATAATTCAGACAAAATCAGACAGATTAACAATTATATGTACAGTAAAACAAAAGGGGAAGTCATTCAAGTATCAAAATACAGAGGCAAAGATTAAATAACAAACATTTTTATTACAACTCAGTCCATTGCCGTGCCATGAGCAACAACACTTGTGAGCTGCTTTCTGCCGGCCTGGGCATTCAAAGACAGACCACGTTCAGACTGGTTTTCTAACGTCTCGATGACTGCAGCGCTGCCTGCTGCCTGCTCAAACCCCAGCGCCTCTGGAATTCCCACTAGTGTCTGCCGCCGGAGGGCCCAGGAGGGACACGGAGCGCTGCACAAGCAGAGCCTGTCAGGAAGGTCCTATGCGAGGAGGAGCTGGTGGGCAAGGGAGAAGAGGTGGACAAGGAGCCTGTGGCCGGGACAGGTACTGTCTGTCAGAGCCCATCTGAAGTCTCCCACCTGAATGGGCTCCTTCACAGTTCAGAAATGCAGCGACAGGGTCTGCCCCTCATGTGACCTGCACTGGGAGAAGTGCAAAAGCAGGGACCTTCCCACTTGAAGCCTGTCCTTAAAGTTACAATAACCTTTCTAAGAAAGGGAGACTACCAGCCCCAGAGGAGAAGGAAGGAAGGAAAGGAAGGGAGGAAAGGGAAGGAAGGAAAGGAAGGGAGGAAAGGGAAGGAAGGGAGGAAGAGAGGGAGGGAGGGAGGAAGAGAGGGAGGGAGGGAGGAAGGGAGGGAGGGAGGGTGGGAAGAAGGGAAGGAGGGAGGACCCAGTCATTTTCCTTTCTTGAATGTTCAGAAATAAACCAATCTCTAAACAAAACCTAGAGCCAGAGCAGACTAGCCAAGGCTTCCAATATGAAAATACCCTGAATAAATAAAGATATAGCAGCTTCAAGCGGAAGAAACACCTATGGATGATCTAAGCACAAAAGACAGCTTGAGGAGTGCATCGTAGTGTCTGCAGTTTCTTTCGGACCTACCACCCCTGACAGAGACCCACTTAGACGTGGCCTGGCCCCTCAGGAGGAAGAGACGGGAGCCACCACACGCACAGCAGCAGCACAGTCTATTCCGGATGGTTTAGGGTTCCTGGTCAACCCCTGGAAGAAAGTTGGGGCCGAGTACTGTACGGCATGAGCTCATGGGAATCTTCACAGCCCCTGAAAGGAGCAGGAAATGAAGTAAAATTGCAAGGTGTTGAGGTCTTCATTTAGTACCGAGAAGTGGAGGAGGGTCTGCCTCTGCTGCAGAGGGAGCTGGGTCCCAGGCCCCACTCTGTTGAGTGCTCAGCAGACAGAAACTCACAAGGCCCGGCTTCAAGCCAGCCAGAGACACAGCCCCACTTCTGGCCAACCGCACGGGTTGAGAATGTGCCCAAGAGCAATGCCTGCACATACACAGCAACAAAGAATTTAAATTCACAGCCTTTGCTGGGAAAGAGGAGTGTTGCTGAAGCCTGGACTATTCATCCTGGGACCAGAATGACCCATGCCAGGAAAGCTCGGAGCCTGCTAAAGTGCCCATGGGAGGAACTGGGCACGCAACCGAGCCAGCTTTGCCTCTCAACCCCACAGGGCTTTCCCCTGCGTTTCTACTCTAGTCCAGAAGGAAGAATGCAACCCAAGTTACTTTTAAAAGCAAAGCAAGCCAGTGGGAAAGCTTAAGCAGCAGTGGCGCATCAGGATGCCAGCCTGCCCCAGAGGCCATGCTGGGGAGCATAAATGCACTGTCACCTTATATACCCTTTTCCACACCGGGGGTCAGGGATGAGCCCAGCAGCCGAGCATGTAACTGTCAAACCAATAATTCAGAGAATCAGAATGTGCCCCAGTCACACAGGCTGATTAGACAAATCACAAATTGGCAAGTAGCAACCTTAGCTGACCTACCCCAAATATTAATGCCCCAAACAAAGCTGCTTTTCCTGTTCTTTGACGCACTACAGGCAGTACGGCACCCGCCAGCCTGCGGCCAGCCAGCCCAGGGCAGTCCTCCAGTCACTGACAGGTGAGAGGCCTGGCACTCTGGCACTGGCTAAGACTTCCCAGCACCAGAAACTGCACACTTATCTTCATTTGGCCACTGAACCTTCCCATCAGGAACCCCAGAAACAGACCAGAGACCTTTGTTTTGCCCAGGTGCCTTTAAGGCTGTGTTCTTGCGAGAAGCCTGTGTCCAGCCTCTGATGGGGACAGGAAGTTGGGCAGTTCATAAAGAGCAGCAGCTGACATGGTTGGGTTTGAAAAGCAGACTCACTCTACTCAATTCTGCCGGAGCCTGCTCTGTTCCCCTCACCCACAGGCCACCACCTTCTCTTCAGACCCACCCAGATCCTGCACCCAGATCCCATCCTGAGGACAGAGACTGTGCAGACTGTCCTCTGCCCAATGGCCATTTGTCTAAAGATTGGCAGTATGACCTAGAGGTTTGAGCCAAGTGTTAAAAGTTCATTTTATAAAAAGATTTTTTTTTTCTATTAAAAACAATGTGTTCTGAACAAGTCACTTTCTTGACCCTCTGGAATGCCAGTCCCATCTGCTAGCGGCCTGGAGTGCTTCTCCGCAGCCAAGGCAGGGCTCACTCTGCAAGACGCGGTGGTGGGATGCCCAGGCCAAGTGGCCAAGAGGACGTCCTGCAGGTGAAGGTGAGGCCTGGGTCTTCAAAGCTGCAGGTGAGGCGGCGGCAGCGGCGGTGGGAGCCTGTGCCCCCACGTCTATGTTTCCGCAGCACAGTGTGGTTCCTCAGTGGCTCAGCTTGGCAGAAGCAAACAATGGGGGGAGGAAAGGGTTAACCAATGGGGCCTGTGGATGGTGGAGGAAATGGAAAGGAAACAAAGCAGGACAGAAGATCCCTCACAGCCTCCCCAGGTGCCCTCCACGCCTGCTCAGACACCCACAGCCCGCAGCCCCCAGCCACCTCTGGCTCAGCGAGTCTGCTCAGGAAGGCACAAGGATGGGCGGGTGCGCAGGACCCACCCCATTTATCAACTTGGGTTTTGACTGTCGTGGCCGACCGGCTTTCCTAGTGGACTCTGCTACGTGTGCACGGCTGCCTACGGCACCGCTTCCTTCCTGTCTCCTGCCATCCAAACTGATTTGCCCACACTGGAGAACACGGGGCCTCTTCAGAGACTCAGCTCCACCATCCCAGCTGCTGAGCTGCTGTGAGGGGACGGCCTCTCCTCTCGGAGGAGTCAGGAGGCTGAGGAAGGCAGTCAGGGGTGCACTGGACGGCGCGGACTATCTGCGATCCCCCACTGTGAAGCATGTCAGAAAACTCCTGGAGGACATGGAGGCCACTCGGTGTGGGCCCATCCTCCAGCGGCTCTGTTCTGTGAGGGAAGAAGGTGTGCCGTGCACGCAGGGCACAGGCTGCCTCCTCGCTGGTCCTTCGGAAGACCTTCCTCCTCAGTGAGCTAGACTCCAGAGCCAGGCCCGAGGCTTCCAGGCCTTGAGACTCCGTGGCGAAGATACGAGGGGCCACCCACACACGTGCCACCTCGCTCCTTGGAGGGGAAGGCTCATCAGGACTGAGGCACCTGCTGTGTGAGCCAGCCTGTGAGTGTTCAGATACCAGAGCCCCAAGCGGGACAGTCAGCACAGGCCCAAGGGCCTGGCGCATTATCTTGGGCCCTGACAGAAAGCAGTCTGTCCCTGGTCAAGCCACATCACTGAGCTCAAGGTCTCACAAGGGCCTGGCCATGAGAGTGAGGCCAGCACCTCAGAGCAGTGGAGGACAGCGGGGCGGGGCTGCAGGCCGGCTGTGAGCAGAGTGCTGGGGATTCTGGCACTGGGTGGTCACAGTGGTTGGTTGTTTCAGGAGAGGTGAGGACAGTCAGCTCTTGGCAGCGGTGCCCAGCTGTGGCTCAGTACAGCAGGCAGAAGGAGGGCGCCGCACAGAGCCCAGCCCAACCCCGGGGAGCTATCAGTGCCACTGGGATTCTGCTGGAGACCACCCTGCCCGTCAGGATTCACAGTGCCTGCCTGTGGAGGCTTCTGGGGTGCAACAGGCCCCTGGAGCCCTCTTGGTGCCCACCTCAAAGGCAACTCACCCCCCCAAGCTGTCCTCAGCCCAAGGGGGAGAATTCACAGTGTTCAGTGGTGGTAGGTGCGAGAGCTGCGAGGGTACAGCGTCTACGCTGCTGCCTGCCCGGGAGGAGCAGGTCCCAGTGCAGGCGGGGCCGTGGCTTCAGCAGCTGGAAGGAGAGAGTTGAGGACAGCAGAAAGATCGGATGGCAAAGGCACAGTGAGACTAGTGGAGACAGGGAGTGGGTTGTTTAGAAGATAGTGGTCTCATACTTGGTGCTGAGGCTCCGCTTAGAGTCTGGTTTGGGGTCCACAACCCAGGAGACACTGGCATGGGATTGGGCATCTTGGTCCATGTCAGGTGGTTCCAGCTGCCAAACAAGGAAGCGGTCAAGAGTCAGAGGGAGCTCTGTGCCAGGGCGGAGGCAGCAGGCCCCGAAGGCTCCTCCCACCCTGCTCCAGGCTGGGCTGTGGCCCCTGTGCTGGGAGCGGCAGCCCTTATTCTCCTCAGCCAAAGAGCAGGCCCCTCCTGGAGAATCTTGGGGAGAGCCATCTCCAGGCACAACTTCTCTCAGGGATTTCTTGGGATTGCTCAGTTAAAGGACCCCTGTCCTACCCAGGCCTCCTGCTCTAAGCCACAAACCCGCTCACACTGGGCAGGAAGGGGATGTGGGGCTTTGAAATGCCAAGCCTCAGGTCCCTCTGCTAGGACCAGAGAGCTCACCCCAAGGCAAGACCACCGTAGTCACCCCAGACCTCTGGAGAGAGGACACACAGCAGAAAAACAGAGAGGGCTGAAGCACACACAGGACAGGCAGAGGGCATCTCAGAAAGAGGGGAAAGAATGTCACACAGGCAGAGGGAGAGGCCACCAGAGGCTGAGAGCGCTCACGGTCACTTCAGGGAGACTGACACACAAGAGAGCAGGAGGCATAAAGACCTTGACTCCGGTACTAACAGACGGCAGCGGTAGGTAGGAAGGACGGTGAGTGGAGCAGGTGTGACAGTAACAACAGCGACTATCGGGGGGCAGCGGCACCTGGGGTGCAGAGCAAAGCAGACACAGACACAGGGATGGCGCAGTTACTGGGGGCTGCCTGCTGGCCGCTCTCTGCAGCCCCTTGATGGCCTTGCCCTTGAGGGAGCCCAGCAAGGGAGGGGAGTGGGAGTGCCAGAGGCCTGCCCAGGCCAGAGGAGCTGCTGCCTTTCCAGGGCACGACCTGGCAGGGTGGGGGGCAATTAAGAGGGTCATTTTCCTGGGGGGCTAGCTTTCTGAAAGTGCCAGAAGACCCTTGTCGTGCTGGCCACCCCAAGCCTTTGAATCCCTGGGGCCGGGGGGGGTGGGTCTTGGCTAGTGGGGGACCCACGTACTGCGGATTTCCTCATGCCGACCCGAGGCTTAGGCACCGGTTTGGAAGATTTTGTTTCAATCATCTCAGCTGCAGAGGCGCCCATCGGCCTGGACTTCTGGGCCTGCAGGGCCAACTGATAGGCCACCTCAAAGGCCTGCCCCAGCGTCAGGATGATCTCGTAGGTCAGGTTCTGGGAGGAAGCAGATCACCACTTAAGCGCCTGGTTCGGGAGCTGATTCACCCACTCCTGCCCTGTCCTCGCCCTCACCCTGAGCACACAGGTGGCATCTGGGGTAAGAAGAGAACACTGGTTTCGAAAAGACACAATTTGATCATAACACACCATTTCCTTCTGGAAGATTTCACCTGATAGAAACACTAGGCAAATGCAAAAACTGCTGCCAGTTGAACCAAGCCCCGACCACATCCGGTCCGATAGCTTCACACTGGATACGCCCTTCCTCGAAGGGACCCTGTGTGCCCCTCTAAGTCCACCTGGGAGCGCTCCTCCCTGTTTCCTTCCCTTTCCCTCCTCTTACTCTTCCTAGATCCCAGTGGTCCTCCCTCCTCTACACAGGATGTGGCCAGGAGCTGGGCTTCGGGGAGGGCAGGTGTACACCCCTGCAAGCCCAGGCAGGGGCCATGCCTGCGGCAGTACTTGAGTATTTCTTAACCATTAATATGAATAAGTGGTGCTGGTGCTTTTAATGTGTCACCGACAAAGTTTGTGAGTGCTGTGCCCCTAACGCCACTTCCCCATAAACCCTGTGGTTTTTATTGTGTGATTTTACCCAGCATAGCAATTTTTAGGAGAAGATATGTGGCGTTACAGCAGAACTGAGTACATGTGGGAAAGTCAGCGACAGGTGAATGGCATTCTCTGTGTGCTGTGTGGACCACCTCCTCCATCTCACAGCGGCCCCTGAGGTGGGTCACATTATATTCCCCTCCAGACAGATGAGACGTGATGTTTCCAAGCTCACACAGCCTGGAGCCTTCTAACCTTCACTGGCACAGAGCAAGCAGAGGTGCTGGGATGGATGAGGTCCCGGGGGTGTGGGAATGCTCAGAGCTGCCTGTGTTCCAGGAGCCACAGAGATTCTGGAACTAGCTGCTGTCCCAGAGGGCGGCAGGGACCTGACCCCTCTGACTTACTCCTGGAGTGAGGCGGTAGCCTGGGGCCACTCCCAGTCTTTGTCGCAGGTTAGAGGGAACACCTGCCAAGTGGGCTGTCATTTCCAGTCTGCTCCCTATGGGCAGCTGTGTGAGGATGAACTCTCCTCAGCCCAGCAGCACCCAGAGCTGAGCCTCAGCAAGAATTTGAGGGAAGAAAATCTACTGCCAAAGAGGGCACTGCTGCCCCTAAGAGGGGAGTAGAGGGCATTTCTGGGAGGCGGCCCAGCCAGAGGTTGGAGGGCGAGGGCAGGGAGCCAGGGGAGACAAAGGCCTCGTCTGACCTAAGAAACACTTGCCTAAAAGCTGGAAAGCCAGGCACAGTGGCTCCCACCTACAATCCAGTTACATGGGAGGCTGAGGTAGGTAACTTGCCTGAGCCCAGGAGTTCAAGGCCAGCTGGGCAAGACAGGGAGACTCCACCTCTTAAAAAAAAAAAAATGCTGGAAACCACCGTCCCTAGTACCCCACTCATAAACCAAACATTTGCCAGGCACCGGCCAGGGCCAGGACAGCGCCACATCTGTACCCTGCGATGGGGCTGGACGCCTCAGGGCTGCCACCCAAGCCCACCCTGCCTGTCCCCAGGACTCCACCCACCACATCCACCGTGCTGAACACATGGCAATAGTGGTGGCTGGTCTGCAGGTCCTTGGTGATGTAGGCGAAGGTACAGAGGTCCTCTGGGTCCTGGGCGGCACAGGAAATGTTCCGGATCTCATGCTCTGCGATGACGTTCTGTTGGGGAAAGCCGTGTTCTGGAATTCTCAGGCTCACATGCATCTGGCACCCCCTGCCCCAGCCTTTTGCCATTGTTACTGTTCTCCCTCCCAGCCTGCAGTGTCAGCCAAACTCCCTTCCTCTTCTCATTTTGTTTCTGGTGGGGGTGGGGGATGGTGTCTAACCTTGCACAATTTCGGTTTGGGGTCTCCACCCTTGACCACAGCAACTAAGACAGTAAAATGTTCACACCCAACCACGAGCTCTCCCCAGCCTCTCCCACCTCCCAGGGTGGGGGCAAAGTGGGAAGGGTGTCAGGAAGGTGGGATTCCACACAGTGGTGCACAGGGGGAGTCCTTTGCTCACAGACGGAATCGGACCTGTGAAGACCTGTGAGCAGGAGCGTGGCCAGCAGAGCCCAGGTGGAGAGGCTAAGAGCCGTTATCACTAGGGTGGGGACGGGGCTGACAGCAGGCACCCAGGCCAGCAGATGAGAAACATGCCTCTTGGCGAGGTGGTGAAGTAGGAAGTAATAAGAGAGGGCTGGGGACCCTCTAGAGAGATAAGGGATGAGAGAAGGCAGCTGGGTTGCTTGCCCTGGAGCCCTGTGGCTCTAATGGGGACACGGGTCCCACTCCCTCCAAGAGTCCCTGTAAGCAGCACACCTTGTTGGAGGCATCAATGAACTTGACACCTTTGTATGTGATGGACAGGATAATGGTGGGGATCTTCTTCATGTGTTCGGTGGATTTCTACAGGAAACAAGAGGGGGCCCTATCAATGCCCCTTCTCAGGGCTAAGCCTCCTGGGATTCCATAGGTCCCAGCTTCCCTCCCGTCCTTACATAGCATGGCAGGGCGTAGCCAACTGTAGCTGCCACCCCCATTGCTACCTTCTGTCCTGGCCAGTCCCACGGCACCCTCCAGCCCACACAGACAGCCCCCTGCCCGCAGATGCCCCCTGACCCAGCACAGGCACTCCCCGCCCTGCATAGTCACCCTCCACCCTGCAGACAACCCCTCACCCTACACGGGTACCCCCTACCCCGCTGACACCACCCCAGCCCACACAGGCAACGCCCCACCCTGCACAGACACTCCCACTCCGCAAAGACACCCTCCCACCCCACACAACCTCCTGCCCACCCCACATAGGCATCCTACCCGCATCTTGGCACAGGCATCCTGTGTGGATTCTGTCCCTCGAAGATCTTTGATCAGCATGGAGCCCAGGTACTGTGGGGGCAAGCAGTGGCTAGGCTTAGGAAGTCCTGCGTTTCTATGCAGGGGTGACCCAACCAATTTGGGACTGTCCCGCAATCAAGTGGTTACCCCTCCCAACCCCTCTCCTGCCCCAGCTGGAAAGGCCCTCCATTCAACTCTCTGGCCAAAGGACCAGATGCCTCCACCCCTCCCCCTTAGCTGCCAAGAGTGGCTGAAGAGTGGAGAACAGTGCTCGACCTAGGCCTGGCTTTGTGGAGTCTCTGCTGGGACTCAGGGCCGCAGGTGCAGGTGCCTGGCTGAGAAGAGGCAGGGAGCAGGGAGGCTGGCCCTCCTGGGAGGGCGGAGGGCAGGAGCAACTCACATTGGCTTCATAACCGCAGGACTCGAAGATGAGTTTCTCTGGCTGGTGTTGCCAACTCTGCACTGGGGCGTAGGGGGCTGCCAGACTGGGGGGCCGCAGGGTCAGCTTGGCCTCGCGGTGCTCCTCCTGCAGAACGTACACAGTCAGACAACTGCTCCTTGTTCCAGAGGAATGCACAGGCTCACTGCCTGGCTCCAGCACAGCCAAGGGGGAAGATGCCAGTGACCTTGGCTAGTTCAAGGGTCAAGTGGAGGGGGCAAGGGGAGACCACCAATTCACACATACTGCGGGGGTGGGGAGGTGCAAGCGACAGCAGAGGCGCAGCAGGGACCCAGACCGCCTGAGAACAGATGAGTCTCAAAGGAGATGGGAAATGACCAGAAAGGAGATGGCAGAGCCTGCGGGGGGCACAGGCTGCCGTCTGCACAAAGACCAAAGGGGAGGGCAGCAGCCACGAGACTCTGGGATGCCTTGGGGCCCAGTCCAGGGCCTGGGAGGGATCCTCACAGCCGGGAAGCCAGTGAAGCTCCCATGCCTAGGAATGCATTTCATATGGATCCCTCGGGCAGCAGCTGGGGGATGGGGGAGGCCACTGTGGTCCAGGTGAGAGATGATGCGTCCCTATCCGGGCATCCGGGTGCTGATGGAAGGAATGGAGAGGAAGGAAAAGATTCAGGAAACATGAAGTGTTTCCCAGTAGTGCGCAAAAAGCCTCTCAACGGCAACTGGAACCGCTGGACGATGTGTTTTAAAATCCTTTAAAATTCCCGGCTGTGCATGTGGAAACGGAATGAAAGTGCCCGGGGCCAAAGTGAGAAGTGAGAGTCAGAGAAACAGGCAGGGGTGAAACTGAAGTTCCCACGGAGGGGCCTGACGGACACCTGCCAATCCTCTGTCTGACAGGCCAAGAAGACAAGGACAAACCCAGGGTCCGTACAAGGCGGGAGGCAGGACAGGCAGGTCTTGAGTACATCCAGGCCCCCTGGAAACGATGCCCTGAGAGGGTGAGCCAGGAAGGTGGGATGGGCCCACCTCAGCCAGGGCTAGGGCAGCCACCGGGAGCGGAGGTGGCGTCTCCAGCGGTGCCCCCCACGGGGCTGCAGGCAGAGAACGGGAAGAACAGTCTGATCTGGCTGTGGTTTTGCTGGGCAGGAGGAAGACAACGCTGCGGAGGTGAGGCCGCAGACAAAGCAGTTCTGGGAACAGCTTGGGCAAGCAGGGAAGGAAGGGGCCAAGAAGGCGCTCAGAGAGGTCAGGAGAGAGTGGAGGGCTCTGGGGCCAGCAGGGGCCTGCAGTGCAGGACACAGGACGCTACAGACGACGGGGGATCTGAAGCTAAGGGAGGGAAATGCAAGCCATGCAGGCCGTAGGAGTGGCCCTGGCAGCCAACAGCTGAAGTGAGTTTTGCACCAGAGCTCGGCGCCATGGGGGCAGGGTGGGCCTTACACAAGGCAGCGGGGTGGGGGCAAGCAGAGCAGGCTGGTGCTTCTGACCTTGATGCCAGCCCAACTGTGCTCAGGTATGGGGCAGCAGGTGGTTCTGGGAGGCCCTGTCCTGCCCAGAGGGATGAAGCGGACCCTGGCCGCAGCTCCCCCCACCTGCCCCCCACCCCATGCCCACCTGGATCCTGAAGCGCTCTGCTCGGGAGGGTGCCGCAGGGTCATGGAGACTGTCATGACGCCTTCTGCCTGTGTCCCCTGGAGGTAGCAGCAGGTCTGCCGACCGCCCGGTGCAAGAATCATTCTGGCTCAGCGGGGATGACGTCTGGGAGAGCAAATCTTGGCACTGTGGAGGTAGAAATCCAGGTGGAACTTGCAACCCTTGGCCCAGTGCCTGGCTACAGGTGCCAGCCGGCCCCCTGGTTAGGATGGTGTGGGCAGCCGCACCGGGAGAAGCAACAGGGACTGGACGAAGAGGCCAACGCCATGGGGGTGTCAGGCAGGTGGCACCACGCAGCCACCGCCCACCAGTGCCCCCAGAGAGGGCAGGGAAGCTGCTTTTGCACTTCTAAAAGATTAAATCTTCTGTCCTGATCCACTGCAGGCCTCTGCACATGACCAGAGCATCCTCCTGAGAAAAAATTCAGCTCTGCCAGCTCTAAAGGCCACTGTCCCCCACAGAATACAAACCAGGCTCCTCAGTGTTTACATTTGAATGTCAGTTGTGTGTTTGGTTCCCAGAGCAAGGCTGGGCCTCCACTTTCTCATCTGTCAGAGGAGGATGAATAGGACCCACCTCACCAAGCCCCTGAGGGTTCAATGGGGTGAGCCCTGCTGGGGCGGGCCCAGTGCTCAGGGCTCCGGGAGTGGCTGCTCCATTGCTGCATATTTTGGCCTGGGGCTGGGGGAGAGCTCTCCCTCAGCTGCAGACTCTGAGTCTAGCCCATTTCTGCAGTAAGGAATTACTGGCAGGAGCAACGGATCATGGGTGAGGTTTTTAAAATGCAGGCTGTCTTCGTCACCCTAGCCTGGGAATTCGAACTCAGATGTTGGGGGTGCCCAGAAGGCTGTGAGTCCCGGCCTTTTAAATTCCAGGCTGTCTCAGGTGTCATGCCACCCAGCCCCTCCCTGTCCCCAGGCACAGAGCCAAGTTCAATGCCCAGGCACAGCCAGCTGTTTTCCTACTATACCCCCAATTTTAAGTGTTTGATCGGCCATCCCCAAATAGAAACGGGTGGTGGGGAACTTCTCTAAAGCTCCTCTCCTGTTGGAACTGCTTTCTCCTACACAACAGTGGTCTCTGAAGAATCCTAAAGATTTCTATGGAATTCCTGCAAATACCGAGGAGAAACATACATTCCTTCCTGTCCCTCCCTGACTCACCCTCAGCTGGGAGAACCTGGGGGGCTTCTGCGGCGGCTCTTCGTACGGCCTGTCTGCGAGGGAGGCGATGATGCGCTTGCGATGGCCGAGCAGCTGGACCTTCAGGACCTGCGTGATAAGGAGCAAGGAGGGTCAGGTGGCCCACTTGCCCACAGTCCGCTCCAGCCCCCAGCGCTCACCAGCTGGGCCAGGCTGCCCCCAAGGGAAGCTCAGGCTTCTGGAGGGTCCAGGCTGGGCCATGCAGGGACTACTCACGTTGACGAGCTCCAGCTCCCAGAGGTTCTTCACGGTGTCAATGGAGCTGTAACCACTTGACAGGAAGGAATGGACGTAGTCCTGCAGCCCCAGGGAGTCCAGCCAGGAGGGCACCGAAGGGGGGCTGTTCCCGTCATAGCCCAAAGCTTTCACCTACAGGGCCAGGAGGGAGGTGAAACTGACATCTCAGCAGTCACAGGAGAGGGACCCAAGCGCCATGGACCCAGGCCAGCTCACACAGACTGTGGCCAAGAGGGCCCTGCGTGCCTGGGGTCCTCAGCACATCTGAGTGCCTCTCCTTGTACAGCCCTCCCTATCACTGGCTGGTCTCCGCTTCCCCACGGGGAAGGCAGTAGCCACTGGAGCTCTGACAGTGCAGGAAGATGACCCTAGCAGGTAAGCGGAGGTGGGGAGGAGGGTCTGCAGAACGCCTCCGCCCTGAGCTCTGCTGAGGTCATGGGCTGGCAGGCCAAAAATTGTGCGTGCCCACGGAGCGGGGACCTCCCAAACTCTGGGCAGGTAGAAGGGACGGGGTCACTGGACTGAGCACCAGCACAGGTGCAGGGGAGAGGCTCGGGCCCACTAGCTCCTGGCTCCCCAGGGAAGATGGTACCTCCCTCAAGCCCACCTGGGGAGCGGCCCAGTGTGAGCTGGTCTGGGCTCCAGGGAGCCAGGAGAGACCCTGAAGGGGGCTCTGGGTGAAAGGCCAAGGCAGTGGGTAGCAGGCTCCCAAGCAGGGCAGACCACCAACCTCCTCAGGACCCCTGAGGAGCCGCTCCCTGCCCGAGGGCTCTCCTGGCTCTCCAAGGGCCTGGGGCGGACTGAGGAAGCAAACAGGTTTGTGTGGCCCCTCAGGAGCTCCCAGGGTGAGGGGTGGAGGCCCCACGTGGTGTGCATTTGCCGAGCCCTGCTCCTCCCGCTCTTGGTACAGGTGGTGCTAGGGAGGTGGCCCTGGCTCCACACGGCTGAGGCTACGGGGCTGGCGACAGTCACCTTGGGCAGGGAGCGTGCGGCCTGGAGCAGCTTCCGCCGGTGCTGTGGGTCGCTGATGCCAATGTCCCGCAGGTCCTGCTCTTCCATCACGTTAGACCCCTGAGAGCAGAAAGGTGGACTTCAGGGCCCCTCTTGGATGGATGGATGGTGGCCCTCAGGGGGGCAGGTGGGCCTTTCAGGGCCCGGCACCAAATTCTCCTTCACTGCAGGTACCAAGAGGGCGTGGGGACAAATCTGCCCAGATGGCCCACGGCCACCCAGGCAGCTCCCAGGGGACCTGGGGACTCCAGAATATGCACAGAATATATAGAGTGCTGAGGCTGGCCAGGGCACACAAGGGTGGGGGCGCTGCCTACCCAGGCCCCACCTCGAGCCCCAGGCTCCTGAGTGTGTGTGTATTTTTCTGTGGAGCAGGTTCCATGTATCCAAGATAAAGAACTGGTGGGCTCATCTCAAGCTTCCTCGTAGGCAGGATTTTATAATTCTGAGGCTGCAACAACCACCTCAGGAGGGCAGCGGGTGACAGAGGTGGGTACCCGAGGAGCCAGTCTCACTCTAAGGAGGGGAGGAGCCTTCAAGGGGGAGACTGTCAGAGAAGAGTGTCCTTGTCCCAGAGAGAAGGTGGGTCAGAGCTGAGCCCAGTTTGTACTGCTCCCTGCAACCTCCACTGGCCTCAATGGAGCAGCTGAGGGTGGAGAGGCGCAGGGAGCGCCCACCACAGCACTAAGAGGGGCAAGCGGATGTGAGGCTGGAGGCTGGCACTCCTGCTTTCTTGCTACGTGGCAGAGCTGAGAACTTTTACCTGGCGCGTCCCATTCTATGCTCACGACCTGCAAGTGAGGGTCTCTGTTAATCCTGTTCATCTGTTTTAACAGACGAGGAAACTGAGGCACACAGAGGTCAGACATTTCTTAGCACCACATATCTAGTGGTGGAGCCAGGCAGCCTGACTCTCCTCCATGCTCCTGGCCCCTGCGAGGATGTCTCTAATTACTCATAGTAGTCACAAGATAGTGTGAGCAGATTCAATCTTAAAATACACACTATGTATGGCCTATGATACAAAATTCACAGGTCCCGCCCATCCCTCAGCTGTGGGGCCCCTCGCAGTTGTAGATGCTGCCAATTCCTGGGTGTTCCCAGAGCCTGGCTGGGCACAGACGGGCACAAGCCTGCACACTGCATTTTCACACAAACGCCATTCTCTCGCACACACTTGGTGCCTGTTCTTATCACTGAAAACACACAGGAGGCTGTTCCACAGCAGCGCACGTAGGCCAGCCTCCTTTGGACAAGCTGCATCATCTAGGTTAGGCATATGCTATCATTTATTCAGCCAGTTCCCCGTTGAAGGACATTTGCTTCAACTTCAGCTACTGCATATGGGGCTGCATGAATACCCGCCCCCGTGTGTGGCATGTCTAGGCCTGTTAGGAGGAAGGGCTTCTGCTGGCTTGAAGGGTGTGTGCATTTGACAGTGACGGCTCTTTCTGCTCCTCTTAGTGAAGCCACTGCTAGATCCCCCACACCGTCAGCAACACAGTGGGGCAAGAGTCTATCACTGCAGTTTCTATTTGCACATTTCTTATCAGAGTAGGATCACTCATCCAGAGGTGAGGCTGAGCATCTTTCCACGTTTTGTCTATCTAGCATTTCCAAAGCACTCCCTCCCCTACTCCATACTGGACCTGCCCAAGCCGTTTAGACACAGGGACGACTGTTATTCCCACCCTACAGCTGAGGAAGCTAAGGCCCACAGAGCTCTGGTGACTTGCCGAGGTCACATGGTAAGTGCATCTGGAGCCAGATTCAGCCCAACGTGCTTGTCCACATGGCTCTGCTGCCGCACACTTGGGACACCCAGAGCTCCTTTTCCAGGAGTTAACTTGCTTATAGACTTGGACAGTTTTTCTATGAGGTTGTCAGTCTTTTCTGCATAGATATGTAGGAATTCTTTACATAGTAAGAAATCTGGCCCAGTGCGATGGTGCACGCCTGTAACCCCAACACTTTCGGAGTCCGAGGTAAGGTGGGAGGAGAACTGGAGCCCAGGAATTTGAGACCAGCGTAGTGAGACTCTGTTTCTACAAAAATCAAAAGATTAGCCAGGAATGGTGGTGTGTACCTGTGGTCTCAGCTACTCGGAGGCTGAGGTGGGAGGATCACTTGGGCCCGAAAGGTCAAGGCTACAGTGAGCTGCAGTTGCACCACTGCACTCCAGCCTGGGCGACAGAGTGAGACCCTGTCACCAAACAAAACAACCTGTGTGTGTGTGCAAGTGTGTGTGTGTACATACAACAGATAAGTTAACCTTTTATCTAAGAAATGAGTTAGATAATTGTTTTCTAGTTTGCTGTTTATCTTTTGGCTTTTATGCTGGATTTGCTCATGAGAAATTTATTTTTTGTAACTGAGTGTACCCAACTTTTCTTGTAGAGCTTCTCCGTTCTGTCAGGCTTAAAAAGATCTTGCCTTTCCCAGATTATGTTTTACATTGTTTTATAGATATTTTTTCCTATAATTTAACAGTTTCCTTTTTTACAGCTAAATCTGTAATCCATCTGGAAATTCGTTTTTTTTTTGGAAACGGAGTCTTGCTCTGTCACCCAGGCTGGAGTGCAGTGGCAAGCTCTCAGCTCACTGCAACCTCTGCCTCCCAGGTTTGAGCAATTCTCCCGCCTCAGCCTCCCAAGTAGCTGGGACTACAGGCACATGCCACTACACCTGGCTAAGTTTTTGTATTTTTAGTAGAGACGGGGTTTCACCATGTTAGCCAGGATGGTCTCCATCTCCCGATCTCATGATTTGCCTGCCTCGGCCTCCCAAAGGCCGAGGCTCATTACAGGCATGAGCCCCTGCACCCAGCCCCCATCTGGAAATTCTTTTGATGTAAAGTGTAAAGTCAAGATCCAGCCTTACTTTTTTCCTGGCAGCAGGCTGTCCATTTCTTGGTGAGTGATCTTTTTCCCCAATCTGGAATGGCCTTGATGGTGTCCGAAATTCCTGTGTATTTCTTGGCCTCTCTGGACTTTCACTCTGTTGTGGTGGGCACTACTTTACACTTGGAAAAGCTAAGTGACTTGGGCCAGTTCATGCAGACCCCTGCTGACCTGCTGGCCCCCACTCCATGTGGTGACTGCTGACCATGGGAGTCTCCCCAGAGCCTGTGTTTGGTGACATAAACTCTGTCCCACAGAGGACACTGCCAGCCTTAAGCTCCAGCAAGCCCAGGTGATGAGAGCCCTGAAGCCAGGCTGGAAGCCCCCATTCTGCTCCGGCTGCAGAGCACACCCCTTGCTGGCACCACTCCAGGTCTGAGGCCAGCCGAGTCATCCCCAAATCTGAGAGTCACCACACAGTTGCCACAGTTGCTCTGGGACCAAATCTAACATCTGCTGTTGTGGAAAGGCAGAGAGAGGCAGCTGCCTTCCCAGATTTTTTTTTTTAAGTAGAGTGCAGTGGTATGATGATGGCTCACTGCAACCTTAACCTCCTGGGCTCCAGTGATCCTCCTGCCTCAGCCTCTTAAGTAGCTGGGACCATAGGCATGCACCACCATGTCCGGCTATTTTTTATTATTTTAGAGATGGGGGTCTTACTATGTTGCCCAAGCTGGTCCTGAACTCCTGAGCTCAAGTAATCCTCCTGCCTTGACCTCCCAAAGTGCTGGAATTACAGGTGTCCACCACCATGCCTGGATCCAGCCCAGACTTTCTACCTGATGATGAGGATACCAAAGCGAAGAGCTGAGCTGAGCCTGCCTCAAACCTCCAAGAGGATGTGAATGTCCAAGAGTGACTGCAGCACTGCAGTAAAGTTCTGAACGTCTGCTCATCCCAGCATTGACTCCAACACCTTCACCAGCTTTCAGGGCACCTGAAGGCTGACAGCCAGGAAGCCAGATCCACTGGAGACCGGCCCCTTGCTAACCAGACGTCAGTCAACAGAAGTGCGGGCTGTGTGCAGCTTTGAGGGAAAGAGATGAATGGAAACACAACAAAAATGAAGGAAATGACAGAAAAGCAAAGCAAACCGTTGCCAGAGCCCATTCTGGGCGCAGTGCGGGATCCTTCAGTTCCTGAAGCAGCCATATCTCCGCAATGGGAATGAGCTTGTGCCGTGACCACCCAGTGCCACAAATCCTCAAAGGGCAAGAAACGCTTCTGGAAGTTCCCACACCCTCTTGACTCAGGGAGAAGGGGACCACTGGCTTTTAGAAACCTCTTCATGAGAAGGGTCATGGGGAGAGACTTTCTGCTGTACCTGCTGCCATACCAACCATTGCTGAGTGCTTACTACATGGTGGGACGCTTCTATAATCAGGAAGCGAATACAGTAAAACAGTTCAGTGCACTAACGGGGATTGTCTCAGCTTTAAGAAAAGCTTCACAACTCCGAGTGACATCTGAAACACACAGCTGGTCTTCCAGCCTGGCCTGCTTTAGGTCCAGTCCCCGAGGAAGAGGGGACAGGAGGGTTCCCGGCAGCTGAGTCGGGACAGGGCACTGATCTTCGCCTGCGACCTGGGCCTCTCCCTGTCCTGACTCCCTCACAGACTTCACATTGCCGGCAGGTGTCCGACTGCTCCCAGCTTTGGAAAGGAGAAAGTGCCCCCATGGAGGAGGCAGAGCCAGGATGGCCCCTGGCGGCCTGGTTCCTCAGCCTGTGATCATGGCCATGGCCTGCTTTCGAGAACTCAAGGCAAAGGGGCAGCAAGAAGTGGTTCCCTGGGTCACTGAGCTCTGGGCATGACAAGAATTCCCTGGGCACCCTCTGCCGGGCTTTGTGAGGAGCTGACGTGTGGCCTGTCCTGGGCTCACCGTGAAGATACAGGCCAGCAATACTGAGTCCTGACCACGGTCCAGCACTGTGCTGGGGCCGTCATACTCATCACCTGCAAAAATTCGCCCAACAAACCTTTCAGATAGGAGCAGCTCACCTTACACAGAAAGAAACAGGCTTGGAGAGCAGACTGGACTTATCCAAGGCCACAGTACTAGTGCCCGGCAAAGGGACTGCTCAGGCCCCATCTGACCAACCCCAGTCGTCTTCCTAGGCTTTTCCTGCTGGGGCAGGTGGAGTCTGCTGAAGACAAAAGT